AATAAGAAGGCTTTAATACCAATGGAAAATTTGCCGAAACTATATGGTGACAAATTAAAAATTAAGAAAGAAAAATACGAACATCTTCAATCTTTAAAAAATACAATAGAGAAAGATTATCATGGTTTTTATGATGCTCTTCAACATGTTTAGTTAATATTTACTTCAACATCCTTAATTAATATTTAATTTAAAGTTAATATAATCTTATATAATAAAAGTTAATTGTGTACCAAGAATTTTTTCATTCCTATATAACAATAATAGTGTTTTCGGGTTCATAAAAATCGTGCGTCACGTCGATGTGAAAATTGCGTAAATCCAAAAAACTAATGTTTTTTGTTATGATTTTTGCCTAACTCCATTGTATTTTTTTACGAGTTTTTTTTTTGTGTTGTCATTATCTATATGTTAACATAGGATCTTGCCTTAAGCATTGTTGAAAAGAAAATTTAGATATATAAAATATTACAGTTTAAAAATGATTTTTTTTTGTCTCCTGTAAAATTTACTTTTTTGGACTTAGGCAATTCATATGACGCCAACGATGTCTTGGACAAACGAGATCATTTCTGAATTTTTAACATTATACGAAAAAGAAACAATAATTTGGAACCCAAAACATGAGCAGCATAAAGATCGCAATCTTATCCATGATGCATGGATACGAATCCAGCAACAGTTAAGCATTAATTGTAGCTTAACAGAATTAAAAAAGAAAAAAGATACTTTAATGGGGACATTCCGGAAATGTCATGCAAAACTTAAAGGAAGCATGAAAACAGGAAGCGGTGCAGAAGATGTTTTTAAACCTGACTGGTTTGCCTATGAGCAAATGGCAAAGTTTCTCCATTCTATTCTACTCGATGAATACATATATGAAGCATGAATCTAAAGTTCATAACGAAATGTTCTATTTTCAATTACAAATTGAAAAATTAAAATATTTTCAATCAAAACAAACACATGGCGTACTGGCATGAGCAGGTCAGCGTCCGACCGTTCAGCGCTGGTCTCGATCCTGGCTACAACAAACTCCAAATAAATATTTAGAAATATTTAAATTATATCATGTAGTTCCGTTTCCATCTTTTCCCAATCAAACCTCCATTCTTATTCCTAGTTCAGTAATCCATATATAATACAGTATGCTGCTGTATCTTACAGTAACACGCTCTACGTAAGCCTTGGTCCAGAATATTTATCCAAATGCAAGTCGCTGACTAATGTTTTTATTTGTTCGAGTCCCATCGTCATGGAATTAAGCACAGGCCCTTGCGAAGTTCAGATCATCGCTCGAAATGATAAATCAAGTTGTAACCCAATCAAGTTCCAAGGAGGATTGGTTATCAACGAATTAAAGGCTAATACCTGGCTTGTTAGCACCGCAGATAAAATAATAGCAACGGTGTGCTGCAACGGCAACTGCAACCCTTCCGAAATCGAAAATAATGTGAAGATTTCCTTATCTTGGCCATGTTTCGTAACACTTAAAAAGGGGAAGACTTCAAACAACGCGCGAATACTATCAAGAAACGACAATTGAAAATTTTGAAAATTTTATGTATAAAGACAATTTTGATATGAAATGATGAAACTGATATGGCATTCCTAATAAGATTGCAACCGATAGAGGCACTGAATATATTGCATCTACTTTCAATACGATATGTAGATTACCCCACGATGAAGTCACAAGCGACGTGCGTCTCCATCGCTTAAGGGTTGCGCATCATCCTTATACGCACTCCTTTCCAGTAACGCGGCCGACTCAAGGTTTATAAATATCGATCCCAGTCCAGAAGAAGCAAAGTTCAACTGACGCAATCAACTCACCCCGAAGTTGGCCTAGAGCCGGAACAATACCCGCAACGACTTCTATATTATATAGATTCCTAGTAATAAAAATGTTGCATAATGTCGTAAAAAACATATAAATGCACTATGTGTGGAAAAAAGCTTATGCAATATCCTCAACTGTACAATCATATTAAATTTGTACTAACTATTGTTTAGTGTTTGAAATACCAGAAGATCCGACGGCTTTAAATATATTACGACTGAAATTATGACAAAAATTTGTGAAGGAACAAATCAATATTATGAATTTGTTACAAATGCGAGACTTATAATCAGCCTTCACCTGATAGAATGTACAAAATAAACCCAATTTCTTCAATCCCTTTGAAAATATTTGCATCGACGAAAGTTTATTGCTCTTCAAAGGACGATTAGCTTTCAACAATATATTCAATCAAAAAGGCATCGCTTTAGAATAAAAATATTCGTTATTTGCGACTGTGAAACAGGAATGTAGTGGATGTACTTGTATATACTGATTTTCTGGAGCTGTTGTTCAAACGCTAATGGATAATTATTTACAAAAGGGCTATACATTATGGCTTGATAATTGGTACTCCAGCCCGCAGCTTTTTGACTGGCTTCATCAAAACGGTACTACTGCATGTGGAACTGTTAGGAACAATCGTAAGGGAATGCCGAATTTTGAGAAGTAAATGAAAAGGGGTGAACTAGAAGTTCATCATACTTACGAAATGATGGCTCTAAAACGTGTTTATGCGTACAACTATTCACAAAAATGAAATGTAGCAAAATGGTAAATTAGATTCAAGAACAAGTACAACTCCAACATGGGATACGTTGACAGATCAGACATGCTGCTGAGTTCAGTAGGATGTATGAGAAAATCCTTGAAGCGGTACAGAAAGCTCTTCTACCACCTTCTTGATATCACCGTTCTATACTGCCGAACCATGTTCAATGTCAAAATTGGGAAAAATATAAGCATAGCAGATATTGGATTGACTGTCATTAGAGAGATTTTGACAAAATATCATAAACCAGGGCAGACTCAAAAGAGGTCGTCCATCAAATAGTGATTTACTTCTCAGACCTACAAAGCGTCATTTTCCAGTACCAGTTCCTCCTGCGCTAAAAAATATGTCTCTTGGAGAAACATTACATATTTAAAAATTATTTTATATTTTCAGGCATTGTCTGTTCAATCACGGGAGATAATATCAAACGTTTTGAAGTTTATGACAAATCCGAAAATGGGGAATCTGTAATTCCTGTTTCAAAGGTGTAAGATCGCGTGTCGGCAGCGACCGGAGTTTCCATTCGGACAATAAGAAGGATACTTCGAGAATCTTAAATATCTACTTAAATATCATAAAATAATATATTACAGATAAAACTTACCCTTAAGTAATCTTTGTGTAGAACTTCGTACAAATCATCGCATGTTTCTGGAATGATTCGACTGAGAGCTTGGGGTGATATTATCGTAGAAAACTTCATGCATGCATAGGAACGACCTGTAGCTAAAAATCTCAGTGTTGAAGATAGTCTCTCATGAGGACTTATTGCTTCTCTCATCACAGTGTTATTTTTCTGTATTAGCGGAGTGACTAAAGCCAAAAGGTTAAAGTACGTCTCTTCATTCATCCTTAAATAGTTATGCCAATCTTTTAAGGTGAATTTGAATTCATTTAATAAATTTATGTGAGAGTACGACTTCCTTTTTAGAAGCCAGTTCTTACACCACACACTACGTGGTTTTCTCTTCTTTTTGCACAAAATAAGTAAAGCCAATAGCGCGTCATCGTCTTCCATCGTGGATGACATGTTCTCGTCAGAGATTCTGGGGAGAACTGACAATCGACTCAGATTTCGTTGGTGTGTAGCGGCACTAGTGCTGTTCGATAAAACTGCACAAACGAACTGTACAGTTTTATCGTTACGATAAATCGTTACGTGTGTAGCTGGCTTTATAGTGATTTATAAGACAGTGACTTTACAATAGTGTAGTATTATTTTAGTAAAAATGGTAAAAAAACATCCAAGTAAGGTTTGTAAACGCTCTAAAAGATCTACCACTTGGAAAAAGATTTGGCAGAAAAGGAAAGAATTATCAGAAGGGTAAGTACTTGGAAACCGTCTATTTTTTCCGGTTGAGACAATCCTAATAATAATACTTAATAATTTTATTGTAGACCAATTGAAAAATCTGCACAGCCAATAGGGTCAGTAGTAGATTCAGTGCCAATTTGTGGCATTGAGAAAATAAATGATAATAATAATAAAATAGATCCATGGGATCCAAAAAATGAGTATGATAGGTAAATATAAGAATTTCAATAGCACTCGCAACGGAACAATCCCATCCCAAAAATGAAAATAATTTTGAAACTTTGGGGATATGTACAATTTGAGTTTCATTTCATTGAACATTTTGTCAAAAATGAGATAATACAGGTTAGAATAAGCTAAGGTCAAATAGTTCGTGTACAATATCCAAATTATAATACCCGACATACAATTACAACAAGATAATTAGAGTTATTGGTTTTATGAAATTTTTAATTTTTGCCTGTAAGGCATAATCGATGGGGATTTGAAGTTTTCGGTCTTAAGTTCGAAATAAGAGATCGCGACTTATTAGCTACTTTTTTCTAATTGGTATAGTTTTAGGAATAGTCTATGTGGACAACAAATTTGAAAGATTCATAATTTTTTCAATTTTCAAGGAAGATCCGATTCCTATATCATTATAAAACCATTATAAGAATGTTGTATAAGCTTTCAATATGTGAAGACAGAGAACGTAGTTATATTGACAGCTACATTAGAAATACTGTACAAACATGCAAAACAATGTACATTTGGGTTATTGAAACCGCATCATGAACAACGTTTTGGGTTGCGATCTATTTTTACATTAAAGTGTTCAGCATGTGATAAATACTTCATTGTACATACAGAAAAAGAACGAAAGCCCTTCGCGACAAATAACGTACAATTTGTTTGGGGAACGCTAACCGCCGGTAGTACCTATGCGCAAATGAAGGATTTCTACACTGAGACGTCCCTATAATGTCATATTCTTCCTTTCACAAAATAGAGGAGTCGCTTGGGGACCACTGGAAAGATGAAGTATGGTACAGTATGGAAAAGGCAGGAAAGGAAGAACTAAGTATTGCAATTCAAAAAGGGCACTTTAGTTCAGATGGAGTACCGTGGATAACCGTTCATTGTGATGGAGGATGGAGCAAACGCAGTTATGGACATTCATACAATGCTCTGTCTGGCACGGTGCATATAATGATTACTATTACAATTGAGCTGGTAATACAATAATGTTAACAAGTATAAAGATACTGGATAACGAGGTCTTTAGAGTGGTGTTTAGTCTTGAAAGAATTCGTCTTCAACGAAGAGAGAGTAATTAATCAAATAATGTGTTATTACAATAGCTAAAAATTACAAAAAAGTGTTTATAGAAAAAACATCAAATAAATAATAAAGCTTTATAAATAATTAAATGTTTTAGGCTGTTGTGATAGGAAAAGAAACGGTATTAGTACTATTTGTTGGAGTGCGAAACAAATATTGTTGTATTTGCACTAGAGCTGCCAACTTAAGACAATTTCCATCACAACATAGATGTTTTAAAAACTGGGAGGCTTCCTCTACAGGAATGGAGACTGATATTTTAGTAGAAGCTTTTAATAACAGCATAAGTATGCATGGGGTTAAATATCTAAAAATGATCGGTGATGGCGATTCCAGCGTATACAGCAAAATTAGATCTAACGTGAGTTATGGTATGGAGGTAGATAAAATAGAATGCGTAAATCACCTGATAAAGAACTTTGGAAAAAGTTTATATAAAATAAAGACGTCTGCAACAAATGACGGGGTATCATCTCAAGCTCGAAAAATGTTGACGAATGAAAAAATTAAAAAACTTCAACAATTTATTATGTATCGAGCCAAAATTAACGAAAATGTAGAAGATCTCTAAACTGATATTGCTAATTCAATAAATCATGTTTATGGGAACCACAGTGATTGTGTTTCACATTACAGTAACACCCCTGGATTTAGAAATGCGACACTAGTAAATAAATTTATTAGTTCAGGATTAGTATATCACTTAAGAAGTAAGTATTTATACTTCTGCCACAGATTGTTAATTTCATTTTTTACAAAATCGTTATAGGTGCTATGGAACCTGTGCTGGCAAGAGCTCATAAACTAGTAGCGTATGAAAATAATAACAAGGTTGAAGTTTTTATGGCTCTTGTAGCAAAATTAAATTGTGGCAAACGCTTAAATTTAATTCAAAGGCGATCTTACTTCTCAACATTGAAATACAATTCGGGTAGTAATATGTCCATTATTAAGCTGTTTTTATTATAAAATATGTTTCAAGGTTTGGTTGGCAACCCGAGTCGTTTCAAAAGTTTGCAGGTGTAGAAATGAGCGAAATGTTTATTAGACATATGAGTCAGCATGACCAAAAGAAGAAGACAAGAATAACAAAAGGTAAAAATCAACGGCAACAAGTAGAAAAAGGTACAGATTTAGATTATGGTGAAAATGCACAACAGGCATTACTGAATACAACAGAATTTAATTCAGAGTATAACAGAATATTACAATCACACCCTCATATAAAATAATAACATTAATTGTTAGTAACAAAATATTATGAATTATGATATGATCATTGGCCATTTTATATTGTCTTACTGTTTTTTTAGGTCACTGAAGAAGAACAATGGCAATTGGCGATTGCAACAATAGGCCAATTCAGTAATGCTGTATACCTACAGGAAAGACAGAAACGTTTAACATCATCTAATTTTGGACCAATTATTAAACGAAAATTGAAAACTTCATGTTCACCTCTCTTGAAGAGACTTTTATATAAAAAAAATAACTAAAAGTAACTCCAGCAATGGAATATGGAAAACGATATGAAGAAGTTGCCAGAAGGAAATTTGAAGAAGTTACCGGTACGTTAGTCCAGAATGCAGGCTTATTTGTAGACACGGAATATCGTTTTCTAGCAGCGTCACCTGACGGGTAGTTATCATTTTTTATTGTTTTTTATTTCATGGTAAAAATTATATAACTAGGTTTGGTAGGAGAGAACGGCATCCTCTCGTAGAAATTAAGTGTGCTTACTCTTTACATATAAAGAAGCAGTCAGTCCACAATGCTATAGAAAATAACAAGCAATTTTGTTTGATGTACAAGGAGGGGCAACCAACATTAAAACATAATCACAATTGTTTCTATCAGGTATTTTAAAAATATACAGTTTAAGCCAGAAGCATCCCAAAACTGATGCCTTGCAAGTTTCTTAATGACGTGCTGTAAAACAAGTATATATTTACTATAAATTACTAATATTTTTAGATTCAAGGACAACTCCACGTTACCAAACGAAAAATGTGCTATTTTGTGGTGTATATAGATGAAGAACACCCCATTTTTATCGAAAAAATAGAGAGAGACGAAAGTTTTTGGAGAAATAATATGCTACCAAGACTTCAACAATTTTATTATGAATGTTTTTTGCCAAAACGGATCCAGGGGTTTGTTGGACGAGGTATAGAATGTACCCATCATAATTAAAAAAAAAATTTGTAATTTAAATGAAAAATTAAAAAAAAAACCTAAATTAACATATTGAATGCGATGAGTGTTACTAGTCGGAAGCCTACTTTTATATCTATTTCCCGTTTATCATTTTTTAGATTGATTTTAATCAGGTTTGAATGTTGATCACTTGTAACCTTTGTTCCAGAGGTGTTATTATAAACATTTCGAAAAATTTTATTGGAAAAAATCGCTTCTGAATAATGTATCCTTCAACCGTATAATGCTTTGATGCGGTAGATACGGGACACCTGTATAGACGGAATCCAAATTTCGATAACCCATTAGTGGTTTCTAACCACCTAAACCACTCTTCTCGATTATCTAGACATGCGATCTAGAGTGCGATATTTGCCAATTCTACAAATTAATGGTGTTTGATTTTATATTAATATTTAGAAGTAAGTAAAAACTTAGAACCGTAATGTAGCCGTCGTCAGATTAAATAAAGTAAAAGAAATAAGTTATTTTAAATAAATTTCAAACCCGTAAAGCAATAATAAAGAGAATGAAAAGAAGGGATAAACGTTACAAAACACTTTCACAAAACAATTATGTTAACAAAACAATTATGTATTACTCGTTTTTAATAAATTTTGTTGATATATTTTTTATAATATCCTAATTTTTTCTTTCATTGTCGCTTTTACCCAGTTGCAGTATTCAACATTCTTCCATTATTGTGTAATCAAAAGATCCGTAGTTATTTGTTTATACATTTTTTAAATATGTCTTTAAATATATAATTAACTGATTGCATCTTGTTTATTAAGCTACGTGCAACAAAAAAACGTTGCAAAACGTGCAATAAAAATTGACAATAAGGTGATGCCAGTTTTAGCGTTATAATGAAATTGGCCTTTCAAGCCCCTACCATGAGTACCAATAAACTTCTGTTACATAATTTCTTACAGAAAAATAATATTAATAGAGTACATTTAAATTTAAAGTTCTGAATTTTGTTTCTTTGGTGGAGCCATCTATGACACGTATGCTATATTAATAAAAATGTAGAGGACGGCCATGTTGTGTACGTATTAGCAACAATGGTTTTTCATAATTATCTTATAAACAAAAGTTTTAATTGCAATGAATCTGGTACATACATGTTCATATACGAATGTAGGAGGTAACTGAATCAATTATTGACAAAATTTAACTTTTCATTTTTATTTAATTGTTCTTTGGATTAAAAATAGTTTTAAAATTATGAAAAAAAATCAGCCTATCGATTGCTAATAGTTATTAATGCACGTTTTCAAGATTGTTTAGGATAAACTAAATTAGTTACAGACTGCAGGGACCTATATAGTTAAAGCGCAATCTTAATTTGTCACCATTCAGTCGACGACTTTACCTTATTTTAATTGTGACTCTAGTTCATTACAGTTTAGTTGTAAATGTATGTTTATCTTTTGTAAAAATTTTTTGACGTAAGTTAATTTAATTTTTTCTGTAGAACTTTTCTGAGTATTTTTGTAGGGTTTCTATTGACGATGGGCAGGGCCCGAAACCCGGTATAGAACAATAAAAATAAAATATTTACATCACCTCAGTATAGCTTTAATTAAAACATATTGACTAAGAAAGAAGGTTTGTTAAATGTTCGGATAGTGGGGGTGTTGGGATATCCTCAAATTAATAAAAACACTAATGCCATCTATTGACAGGCGCTCTAATATAAGAACAGTTACATATACGTTGAAACTATTGAACTAAAGTCAGTCATTACAATGTCATAAACTTGTTTGTGTCGTGTTCTTTTATTTGAAACAAAGCTCAACACCTTTTGTAGAGAACCAGCCTGTGTATTTTATGACCAAAAATTACGCATATCTTGTAGTTGTAGTGAGGGTCTCATCTCAACCTCTTTAGCCAAAATGAGTCCTTTTCGAACAGCTATTGTTGAAACTGAGCATCATGAGACAAGCATAATATGATCATAATATTTCTAAGATTTAAGGCGTTGGGTTTAATAAGTTCAATTCATTCGTTATAACATAATTTACATAATGAACATTGGTAGTCACATGATAAACCACACGACTTTAGACGTCTCAGTCTGTGATAACAAGTGTGAAACTCATATTATAAGTATTTGGGTTCTTGATCATACTTTTAAAAATGACATAAGAAGTCTAGTAATAGTGACAAAGAAACCTGGACAAAATAATTCTGTAAACAGTTAGATAATATCCAGTACACTGAAAAATAAGCAGAGTTAAAAGGAAGGTACATTGGGGATTTTAACAAAACAAAGTGTCAAAAAAAGCAGATCCCAAAATATAAAGGTTGCACATACACATGCGTTCCACAAGGAATTATTCAAGCTCTCTCAAGCAATTATTCTTGGTAGAACACTTGTGTACCTATCCATAGCACAGCCAGAAAAGACTGGTTCCTAACTACATATCACAAATATTAGATATCTCAGCAGCATATTGTGGATATAATTTTGTGTCTGATAATAACCCACATGTGACAGTGGAAACTCACGTTCAGCATCAATTCAGCATTAACACGTGATCAGAATTTTTTGAAATTAATTTGATAGATCTATTGAAGGAAGTTCCATTGAATATCAGACAAAATATTTACTATCAACGTAATGGCCCACAGCTCATTTTGGTTACACAATGATTGATCGTCTTAAATCCCTGCAATTCGCACATAAGCTGAAACAAAAAGAAACATGTAATTAATTAATTAATCAATAAGTATTGTAGTAATTCAATAATTTTTCGACACTTGATAGTTGATAGAAAAATAATTATTGTGAATATTTCTACACGGTGCGTGTGTTGTGGATATACAGCGTGTCCCGTATCTTCCGCATCAATTTTTTCGAAATGTTTATAATAACCGCACGGGAACTGTTTAAACGAACTGTTTTTCGTCCAATCAGCAGATCGCAAATCAGCCTCAGGTAGTCGGTGCCTCCTTCGGCCGGTCCGCTACGCCGATGATAACTCGTTTCCCACGTGTACTCACCAATAGATTCGTCACGGAAAGAGAAATAAACTTTTTCGGGGAATCAAAGTCGTCCGTTATTGGTCGTTGTTAAACAGTTCCCGTGCGGTTATTATAAACATTTCGAAAAAAATTTATTAGAAAGATCGCTTCAGAATAATGTATTCTACAACCGTATAATGCTCTGATGCGGAAGATACGGGACACGCTGTATACCAAAAGTTTAATATGTCACACATATAGACCTGGTGGCGACACCTATCCTTGGGTGTAAGCATCAGTAGAATAAAAATATTTCTAGCAAAAACACGTGTTTTTTTTTGCAGATTATTTCCCATGTGCTTAACCGTGAATTGACATTTAACAGAGGTTAATTAACGTTATCAATAACAGGTTATGGGCCCAGGCTGTTGAGAACGCAAAGTTCACCGTACTCAGTAGTTCGGGAAGTGAAAGAAAATCGTTTCTATCGTGTCGAAGTCTCGTGCGTGCTGATCTCACAAAAGCAAAATGGCCGTTAACTACTTAAGGGTTTTTTTTTTAAGAAAAACAACTTGGTATAACAGATATCTGTTATATTGCATATGAAAAATGATTGTCGAAGAGTGAAAAATAAAAAAAACTCTTATAATCTTCGATATACAATATCGCATAATGGACGCCTTCAAAAAAAAATCATGGCGTCCTTGGTTGACATCAAATTGGTCGACTGATTCATATAAAACCGAGAAGCCAAGAAAGATGTAATGGCAAATATAATTACCTATAACTGTACGTAGGGAAATTCAAAAAATTTTAAAAATAAAGAAATTATTGAAGAATTAAGTATTGTGCAAAATTTTGTAAATTTCGTTATACAAAAAAAAAGAAATAAGTATAGATCTGTTTGATCAAATGAAAAACGGCTACGTACAGTTGAAGACAAACGGTTTTTCCACAAAATGAAACTTTTTTCATATTAATTTAATGGTTAGATTTTTTGATTAACTGTCAACGAGGTCGAAAAAAGGTGTTTAAAGAAAAACGTATTTAATGTTTCACTTTTAAATGAGGTATAATTTGCAATGAAAAATAGATTTAGCAATCCCTGGACCATATAGAAGTTCCTCAACGTCCATAATTATATTTTGATGCATACAACCTTCACAGATATTTCGTCGCGTCTGTTGTTCGGCTTTCTTCACACGCTCTTTATCAATATCATGGCAGTAATCATAAACAGTTTGGCCAATCTCAACTCGCAATTGATCTAAGACACCCAGCAGAGCGACATGCCCATCATTGAATAATATTGTGCCCAGATTTGCAGCAATTTTGACAATTGTTGCACCGCTAAATGATGATTTTGGTGCAAACTTCCAAATAATATTATTTAAGCTTGCATTATTGTTCTGATGAAAGGCACCTAAACACCTGATTAAAAGATCTCTACACAGATCTTCATATATTGGCTGGATGGCTGCTGCAAATTCAGCGGACATGGCAGGTTTATGTTTATAATTATTTAAATTTCTTGCTGTGTTAGCCTTCTGGCACGAACACCACGACTCCGCACCGATTGGACAATTATCATGTTGAGGTTTTCCGTCGGTAGAGTATTTATGTAAGATAGTTGCCCAAATACTTTTCTGCATATTTTCTACAGAATTTGTATTTCTGCGTATTGCTAAACCATAATATGTCGTGAGCTCTTTTATAAGGTTTGCAGTTTACCTTTATCTCCTAAGCACTTTGCAGTTTTTTTGCAATTTCGTAATCTTGTTCCCATACGTTTTTGTACGTGATTTACGCATTCCTTTTTTACAATATCTGGTGAAATCTGATTTACTATTTGGCCATACGTTTTTGAATCGCCATCACCAATATAATTTATATATTTCTTTTTATGCAATTCTTCAGCTCTTGAAAAATTTCTATCATTGCATCGGGTTCCATATTATCAGCCCGTATGATTAATGTCACATTCCTTCTCATGGTCTTCCAGCAATATTTGATACTCTAATAAATGTGATTTATTTTTCCACAAAGCACATGCCTTACAGTATCCTGACTTGACGCAAATATGCATTTTCTTAGAGTAGTATCCTATGACTGTTATGGTATGTTTAGGATTATTTTTATAATGTAGCGATAGGATATAATACCCTGTATCTTTGTTATTTTTTCGAATTTCTTGCTAAAAATGTAAACAGACAATCTTGAGATGTGTACCTATTAAAATAAATAATAAAAAGAAAATCGATTTTTTTAGACCGCTACACTGTTCTACCCCTTTAACGAGCGTGCCAAGGCTTTTAGGACGCGAGAATTATGATGAATAGGCTTTCGCAGTTGAAAATATATTTGTGTTGGAAAATTTAAACAAAAGCATTGATGGTAGTGAAGCTAATACAACTATCATTGGAAAAGCTAAGGCAAAATTAATTTATATTAAATAAATTTATATTAGTTATTATTTATATTAATAACTAACAATTGACCCATCTTTATATCCACATGTTAAAAATGCAGAATCGGCTAAAGAAGTTTGGGATAAATTGAAGAAATTATACGATGACAGCGGTTTCGTGCGTAAAATAGGACTTTTGCGTACGCTGATATCGGCTACATAAACCAGATTGTTGAAACGTCGCAGAAATTAAGGCGCACTGTTTTCAAAATTGATGAAGAATGGATAGGTTCCCTTCTCTTGGCGGGTCTACCGGAATGGTTTGCACCGATGATAATGGCTATTGAACATTCGGGAATTGGAATAACAGCAGATGCTATAAAAACTAAACTTATTGACATGGAAGGTGATACTACTTCGAGTAGTGCTTTTGCTAGTAAGTACGTAAATAAGTTCAATGTACAAGCGAAACGTGGAAATACCAGAAAGACAAATATTGAAAAAATTCAACGTTATCGCTGCAAACAATTTGATCATTTCAAAAATAAGTGTCCAAATAAAACTGATGTCAAGCAAAAAGAACAAAAAGTGAACGCATTCAGTGCAGTTTTCTTAAGCGGCTCATTTAATAAAGACGAATGGTACATTGACTCGGGTGCAAATAATCATTTAACAACGAATTCTAAATGGTTACAAAATTTGCAAAATCCAGACAGTATCCAAGAAATTATTGTGGCCAATCAAACTAAGATACGTGCAACATGTGTTGGGGATGTTCAGTTGCTAACGACGGTAGGAGAAAAAAGGTAGGAAGTAGTGGTAAAAGAAGCTTTGTATATCCCAGAATTAACAACAAATTTACTATCAGTGAGTCAACTCATAAGAAATGGTAATTCTGTTAAATTTAATAAGGATAACTGTCAAATTTTTAATAGAAATGGAAAGCTAATTGCAACATCTGATATGGTGGATAATGTATACAGATTAAACGTTATGAAATCTAATTACTGTTGTTTAACCATTAAAAATGTTACAAGTAGATTGGGCCATTTGAATAACAAATTTAGCCATGATGGAGAAAGAAGCGGAGAGAAGGTTTGATATGTAAGGGAGGAATAAAAGCAGATATAGAAAATTGCGTGACATGTTACGAGGGCAAACAAGCTAAACTACTTTTCCGACATAAAAGTACTAGACTTTCTTCAATACTTGACGTGATTCATGCGGATGTATGTGGTTCGATGGAAATAACATCTATTGGTGGATCAAAATATTTTGTATTGTTCAAAGATGATTGCAGCAGGATGGTTTTTGTTTATTTCTTAAAGACAAATGATAAAGTCTTGAAGAGATTTGTTGAATTCAAGAACGAAGCTGAAAATCAAAAATTCTAAAATAAAAATTTTGAGAACAGACAATGGTGGAGAATTTTGTGGAAATAACTTTAAGAATTTTCTAAAGAACTATGGAATAATGCATCATACAACAAACGCCTATACACCGGAGCAGAATGGAATGATCGAGAGAATGAACCGAACTGTAGTAGAAAAGGGGAGATGTTTACTTTTTGAAGCTGATCTCAAGAAACAATTATGGGCAGAAGCAGTGAGTACAGCGATTTATCTCAGAAATAGATCAATAGATAATGGATTAGATAATAAGACACCATTTGAGATGTGGTTCCAAAGGAAATCAGATGTAAGTAATCTCAGAATATTTGGTAGTGTAGCCATAGTGCACGTTCCCAAAACTAAGAGAACAAAATTGGATAAAAAAGATGATTTTGGTAGGGTATGGGGAAAACACAAAGGGATATCGTGTTTATGATCCTGATAGTGGCATTGTTATTCTGAGCAGAGACATAACCATCATAGAAAATGTCATGGTTCACGGTCAAGTTCATGATTACATAACATACTTTGGTGCTGGTAACAACACTGGAACACAAGGTATTGTGGATCTTCCAAAGACAGTGGCAGAGGCGCTGTCAGGACCAGATGGACATGAGTGGAAGCAGGCAATGTTGGAAGAGATTGGCTCATTCAACGAAAACGAAACGAAACATGGGAGCTCGTTGATTCACCGGAGGCTGGATGTGCAAGTGGGTGTACAAAATCAAAAGTGACAATGACAATAAAAGTAGATACAGGGCTCGACTAGTGGCAAAAGGTTACACTCAGAAAGACGGTGTTGACTATGTTGAAACCTTCGCACCGATAGTGCGACACTCAACTTTTAGATTGTTAATAAGTTTAGGGGTTAAGTTAGATTTAAGGATTGTACACATAGACGTTACGACAGCTTTTTTAAATGGGGTTTTAAAGGAAAATGTTTTCATGCAACAGCCAGAGGGTTTTGTTTTAAGAAACAGAAAATAAATGTAAATGCAATAAAACATGTGTGTATTTATAGATGGATTCTTTTAATTTTAGCTCTACCGGTTTCGATCAATACATTTAATCATCTTCAGGAGCAACCTAATGTAATATAAATAAAAATCATTTACTAAAATTAACAACATTCACAAATTTCTGTTACTATCGTTACATTATGAACAAAATAAAATGAAACTCACGTCAGTAAATATATTTTCAAAAGACATATTTGTTAGTTAATTAGGCTGTTATCCTCTTACTCTTGATATTTTAACTCTTCTTTTCCTTGTTACCCAGTTATTCAGAAATATCCAATAAGCCTACCATGCAACAATATGCGCCATGCGTTTCTTTACTTTTGTTTTTGAGGTTATGTATTTGTAATGAAGTTAGTTGCTTTTATACATTTTAAATTTAAATTAATTTGTGAACAAAACCATTTAATTAATATTATCGTCATTGTTTAAAAAATTATCTAATTAGTATCAATGTTCAGTCACATTGTTGTGTCTTAAATGTTTGTGGTGTAATAAGGTTTGTCAAAGGTATAATATGTGGAAAATGGAAAATGGATCCTTTAGGAAAGGTGTAGATTTTAGGGTGACGAAGGGATTTTTGGTTGCCATGGGACCCAAAGTGTTGCGATGTTCCTATTGCAACCTTATAGGACATCCTCGTTCACAAGTGAACGAGGGCACCTTTCCTAAAGAATCCATTTTCCACATATTATACCTTTGACAAACCTTATTACACCACAAACATTTAAGACACAACAATGTGACTGAACATTGATACTAATTAGATAATTTTTTAAACAATGACGATAATATTAATTAAATGGTTTTGTTCACAAATTAATTTAAATTTAAAATGTATAAAAGCAACTAACTTCATTACAAATACATAACCTCAAAAACAAAAGTAAAGAAACGCATGGCGCATATTGTTGCATGGTAGGCTTATTGGATATTTCTGAATAACTGGGTAACAAGGAAAAGAAGAGTTAAAATATCAAGAGTAAGAGGATAACAGCCTAATTAACTAACAAATATGTCTTTTGAAAATATATTTACTGACGTGAGTTTCATTTTATTTTGTTCATAATGTAACGATAGTAACAGAAATTTGTGAATGTTGTTAATTTTAGTAAATGATTTTTATTTATATTACATTAGGTTGCTCCTGAAGATGATTAAATGTATTGATCGAAACCGGTAGAGCTAAAATTAAAAGAATCCATCTATAAATACACACATGTTTTATTGCATTTACATTAAATTTGAGATGGAAAGAAATAACCAAATAAAAATTATAGAAAATAAAGTTTACAAGTTAAAAAAGGCTGTACAGGTGTCCCGTTAAGCGTACGGAGCGGCTGTATCTCGACAACGGTAAGGCCTAGAGGTTTGGGAAAAAAGTCTTTATAAGCAAAGTGACCAAGAGAAATAGCTGGAAATTATTTTGAAGTTCGTAATTCGACCGCTAGGGGGCGTAACTGCCATTGAGAAACATAAAATTGCCGCTATCTCAGAAACTTAGACGATGAGCTATAACTTTGACAACATCATTTAATAGCTTGGATAATACCGCATCGCTTTTGTTTTGCGACATTTCTCATATCTGTCACAATAAGGGAGGGGGGGCCAATGCGTTTTCATATGTTTACATTTTAATATCTCCTGGACCATTCAACCGATTTGAATATTTTTGGTGTTGTTTGAAAGAGCATTTTATGCTCTTTTTAAAGATATTTTCAATAAGATCGTTTGCTTTAAAACAAATAAGCTAGAGGGCGTTATCTGCAGCGATTGCATATTTTTGTGATTTTTTAAGAAAAGTTAAATGGAACGATACTATTTACTTCACAGATTCTTAGTCACCTTAAAATTTGCAAAATTTTAGTGAAAACCGCATCTCGATATCGCCACCCGTTCTCGAATTATAGAAGAAAATGTTAAAAACTCGAGTGCCATCAATCGGATCCAGTTACCTCATCGATAAAAACAAATCACATAACCATGGTAACTGTTTTAAATGGTAACATTTTCAATGTTTCGAATACGATGCAACTGCATGGCAAAAATGTGCAATACAATTACGACAAAGAAAGACATTTTTCTCAAAGAATGGATTTCAAAGAATGGATGGAGATATCGAGATGCGGTTTTCACTATTATTTAGCAAATTTTATAGTGATTAAGGGTCTGTGAAGAAAACAGTACCGTTCCATTTAACTTTTTTTCAAAAATCACAAAAATATGTAACCGCTGCAGGTAACGCCTTCTAGCTTATTTGTATTAAACCAAGCGGTCTTACTGAATATCTTTTAAAAGAGCATGTAATGCTCTTTCAAACAAGACCAAAAATATTCAAATCGGATGAACGGTCCAGGAGATATTAAAATGTAAACATTTAAAAACGCATTGGCCTCCCCCTCCCTTATTATGACAGATATGAGAAATATCGCAAAACAAAAGCGATGCGGTATTATCGAAGCTACTAAATGATGTTGTCAAAGTTATAGCTCATCGTCTAACTTTTTGAGATAGCGGGAATTTTATGTTTCTCTATGGCAGTTACGCCCCCTAGCGGTCGAATTACGAACTTCAAAATAATTTCCAGCTATTTGTCTTGCCCACTTTGCTTATAAGGATTTTTTTCCCAAACCTGTAGGCCTTACCGTTGTCGAGATACAGCCGCTCCGTACGCTTAACGGGACACCCTGTATATGGGTTAAAACAATCTAGCCGTGCCTGGAATGAAAAAGTTGAAGTTTTATTAGCTATTGGCTATACAAAATCGAAATATGAACCATGTTTGTATGCTAAGAAAAATAAGGATAATCTTTTAACAATAGTGGATGTTTGTGTTGACGATTTTTTTATTTTTTCAGCTGATTTAAAGGAAATTAATTTTCTTGAAAGCCACTTAAATTCTAAATTTAAAGTGGAATCTTGTGTTTAGGGGTTAGAATCAGGCGGGATCATATTAATAATTGCATAGCTATAGACCAAGAAATGTATACAGATAATTTATTAAAGCGTTTTGGTATGATACACAGTAAAATTATTAGTACTCCACTTGACAGTAGTGTTAGTTTGAGTAAAATCGAGGGTGAGACTTGTGATCGAAAGATTCTTTACCAGGAACTTATAGGAAGCCTAATGTATTTAGCTGTAATGACGCGCTCAGACATCTCTCATGCTGTAAGTCTGTTAAGTCAGTACAATAACTGTCAAGAATTATCAAAAGACTTGGAGTGGCAACAAATTTGTCACTTCTGCCACACAATAAATTCCACATTTAAAAGAATTATTTATAAATCTTTAAAAGAGATAGGAGATTTATTGAGATTATATTTTGATTTTGAGTGAAGATATTGAAGATGATACATTTCTTAGATTATAGAAGTATTTAGATTATTAATAAAAACATAAAATTATTTTGATTAGATCAGAGACTAGATCTCAGGCATGAATGCTGTAGAAAATTTTCCATTACTTAGTTCATACTTTCACGGGCCTGTTAGCAAGGGGTAGGATATACTGCCCCTAATAGCACTAATGTAATGTGAAGTCTATTAACTACCTTACCTTACTTAAATTCACCAGCTCCTTTATAACACTTCCGCCGTTATTCTGTTATTTTATCTTAAGAAATGATCTTGACAACATATGTAAAAAGTGCTATTGAACATTTTTGGGCATCATGATGCTTACCCAAACACATTATTTTGAACAAGTAATGGATATTTTTAATGAATAGCAGCCGGATAGGAAATTTATCTCTAAATCAATGAGCTTTACACTGATAAATCGTAAATGATTGTTCCAAAACAATCAAAATCCTAATTTACAGGCTGAACAAATATGGTTTCGACAAGATGGAACTCCTCCGCATTTTGGACGTATGAATGAATAGCATTTAGGAGTACCATTTATAGACAATTGAGTAAGTTTTCCTTTATATACTCTTGAATATACTTCTATGGGCTCATGTAACAAAAAATGTTGTCAATAAAAATAAGCCATAAAACATCGAAGTATTGCAAGAATAAATTTATGAAGCATATTCCTCTTTTCGAAGGGTTGAAACCTTTGGGTTATCAAGAGAGAATGTTCCACATTATATTCATAATTCTATACATGTAATAGATTTTTTTTTGCGACAGAGTTGTGATCTACTTTAAGTAAAAAGAAAATTACTAGTTAATTAAAACTTGATTAATTTTCTACTTACAATAGTATTAATTTTTTTGTTTTAACACAACTACCAACAGTGAGTTGCAATAATAAACTATTACCTAAAAGTTAAACTATTACCTGTTAAACTGAGGAATTGTCTTCGAAAAGGGGACGAAAGGAAACCCATAGTTGCTATTAATCAAAAATATCATTCTTGGGATGCTTATGATTTCAGTGCAAGGTTAACCAGTACGCAACTGAGACAAATCTGAAGTATCTACACTTTTTGCGGATGGGACGCCACCTAAAATACACAAAAGAAAATTATTTTAGATAAAAAATATATCTTCCATCTTATACATGTAGAAATGTATTACTGTAACTAATCCGAAGTAAATGTCCTCAATGTATAGTGTGTTAATTAATCATCGTACGCGACGTCATCATTGAAAGTATGCAACCAATATCACAGCATATACACTTTGTACGCGATTTGCGGATTGCAATACCAATACTGTGATATTGGTTGTATACCTGCAATGATGACGTCTGGTACGATAATTAATTAATACACTGTTGTATTTGTTTATCCATCAGAATGATAGATTTAGAAGGACATACAATTCAAGCTACTGTAGACTTGATATCAGGGGAACCACCAGATAAAGTAGCATTATCGTTTATTAGCATTATTTTTTTTCTGTGATTATGAAGCCCAGTAATATTTGAATCAATTATTACAAATTTTTAACAAAGTTACACAGTTTAGTTCCGAAAATAAGAAAGTTTCAAAAATATAATATTTTGTATTATCTGTCACAACTGTAGACAATTAAATCATCGACAGATGAATTACATAAAACTCTTGAGTTAAACTCTAAATTTCCACTTAAATACATTGTAAATCAGTTAAATTATTGATACCGCAAACAAATATCAGACAAAAACTATTTATAAAAATTTCCCTAGGATGCGATAAAACATACATACAGTATATAAATGCTTCGGTTTCAATAAGAAATAAGAAAAACAAATGTGAAATACAATTTTTATTAAAAAATCAAACTAAAAATAATATGTCGGATTTAAAAAATATTGGAAGAGCAATTTATAAATATTGAAAAAATGCAACTTCATTATTTATGTAGGAAAGAATAACCAATAAATACAGTGCACTCTACATAACGAATTTACATAGCAAATTTACTCTATAACGAATTGTTTTTAAAGACCCAACAAATTTCTTAATAAAAACGTTTCTACATAACGAAAACATTTCTATATAACGAACTACAATTTTCCAGTTTGTTTATTATGTATATGGAGTCTGGCGTCTTTGTCTTACTAACAATAAGAGCAACTCTGTGTAAACGTCATTTTGTGTTTCTGCATCAGCACCTGATTAGCGCGGCAGCGTTTGTAGAGATAAAACTTTTACTGTAATTTATTTTCGTGATGTCTAAGCGAAAGGCTTTAAGTGTCTCTGACAATTAACATGTTAAAGGATGTCCACCGTGGCATGCAGAAAAAACTTGTAGCGGAAAATATGATTCCTTCAAATACACTCACGACTTTAATAAATAAATAGCAACCGTAACCGCTATACTAGGTCATCAGAAATGTGCAGTAGACGCATCTATTCGTTCTCAAAGTCAAGTAGGTTACCAGAGACGTATTCAAATCAAATTTGGGATAATAATTTTTATTAATTTTTTTCTAAGTGTGCGTGTGCAATGAATAGTTTCAAAAAAACTTCACTTCACCTCCAAATTTGTCGTAGTCAAGGAGCTGTCTACTACGTTTTTAAAATAAAAGCTGGACTGAAAAGCGATTGCGTATCGCTTCTCGTTCATTTTCAACTCCATTGATTTCATAACGAATTCATTCTAAGGAAGGCATAAACATTGTTTGTTAACTGACTAGTTACAACTTTTATAATCTGCACCGGTAAATCTGAAGCGTGTTCTCAACCGACCTCCAACATTTTTCCTATAGAATTCAACCGAATAGATGCATCTACAGCACATTTCTGATGACTTTGTATTTACCGTGAAACCCCGCCGCGCAACTCACATTCTAAAAGTTTTCAAGGTTTTTCTCGATGGTATACAGGGTGAGTTTTTCATTTATGGACAGATTTTCTTAAGAAATACTATAATTTTGAAAACTTGCATTTACTATATCTAACAACGGTCTAATCTTAAACGATTTGTCGACATTATTCTGAAAATGTTTGTAAGACTTTACTTGAAGATAGGCATTTTTCGTCGTCGTCGTCTGACCAATAATCGCGCTCAGATGGTAAAGTGTGGTACCCGCTAAATACAAAAAATGCCAATACACATTTTGTTCTCATCTTTTGTGAACAATCAAAACGGAAAAGCAACGGAAAATATTTCCTGTTCCGCTTAATTCTTTCCTTAAATCCTAAAGGAAAAGAAATATCCACAATTCCTCACTGCAAAAACTTCGAATCTATGAACGTAACGTTTTTTTATAATTTTGTTATATACAATACAGACAATTGGTATAATCAATTTCTGTCTCCATCAAAAGTTTTTTTCTATCAAAAACCCAGCTTCCAAATCATTCTAAAGTTTCATGAAATTCACTTATACAGGGTGATTCAAAAAACCGCCGACAGACTTCTAGAGTAGATAATACATGAAAAATTAAGATGAATAGTCTTAATATACATGGGGTCGCAAATGCCTCCATAACGAGATATAGCGGGTCAAAATTTCTTTAAAATTAAACATTATCTGCAATAAAAAGACCTTTCTTTAAAATATTGTCTAAGCCATTACTAATTTTGTCAAACGGGCAGTATTTTCGTGTAAAGTCATCAATTATCTATCAATTGGTCTCTTACAAAACCTTGATCAAAGCAATAGTTTTTAAGAACACGTTTGTAGAAAATTTGTTAATCCAATCAAAAATTGTTGCTTTAATCAAAGTTTTGTAAGAGACCAATTGATAAATAATTGATCAATTTACACCGAAATACTTCCCGTTTGACAAAATTAGCAATAGCGTTGAAAATATTTTTAAAAAATGATTTTTTATTGCAGATAATGTTTAATTTTAAAGAAACTTTGACATCCTTATATCTTGTTAAGGTGGTATTTGCAAGCCCATATATATTAAGACTTTTCATCTTATTTTTTGATGTATTACCTGTCCTAGAAATCTGTCAGCGGTTTTTTGAATCACCCTGTATATATCAAATTCAGTTAAGGGTTACGGTGTTTTGACGGTCGATTTAAATCGCTAAAAGCACTCTCTAAATCGTTCTAAAATTTCATCAATTTCAGAAGACCCATCGGGGTCAAACTCACCCCCCAAGTCAAGTTTTACCAAATGGGGGTTGTAAGCTGTTCTTGAGGGTAAGAGTGACTTGTGTATGAAATTTGGTGGCCCAAATCGTATTGGTTACGGAATTATTAATGTTTTAAGTTTATGGCTGGACTTTATGGATAACTTCACATCAGTCATTGCACTTGCATTATCTATTTCAATTTATGACACCCAGGACGATAGAGAATATTGCAAAAACTTGGTGTATCGTGTTTAATCGTGTCCGCTTTATAACAAAAAAGTTACTTTTCTTGGTGTTTAGGTTTTTATCACAATTTTAGTATAATTCCAAAAATTTCAACCATGACGGAACGTATCGGCGAAGAACTTTTCAATGAATATATACGCAGACAGTTTATCTGATTGTCCGAGTGATTTCGAAATAAATTGTAGTGATTCCGAAAGTGATGAATCTGACATTATACCACCAAAACGACAAAAAAAAATGTTATAAAATCTGATAGGATCCGATACACCTTCTTTGGAGGATTATTCAAATATTTCGGGTGTAACTGTAGAATAAAGTGATACACCGATTATCACCGATCATCCGAAGTAACGGATTTATTTTTTGATAACGACTTTTTTCATTTGGTTGTTTCCCAAACCAATTGGATTACCCTATTCCAAAAATTCAATCTATGTATGTACCGAAACAGCAATTATGACTTGATGAAGCAATGAAATTCAAAGGAATAAGAGGACAACGCATAATCAACCATCGAAGGATGAGCTTAACAAATTTTTCGCAAGCATCGGCAACAATGTATGTAACGTTGGAGCTTCAGGTGCTACTAAAATAAAATCTCAGAGTCATTCCGTGTTCCTCACACCCGTAACTCCAAATGAAATTAAAGAAACCATATTACATTTGAAATGCAAAAGTTCAATGGACATACACTTCCTAAACACTAAAATTCTAAAGTACAGGGTGTCCCAATTTCGATGTCCGCATAGGCTATCTCCGAAACTAAAAGAGATAGAAAAAAAGTTGCTTACATGTCATGATCTCGTTTTTCGAGAAAATGCTAATGCCGAAAACTCCGAACAGCTATCGTCTTTAGTTTTCGCTCTATCGACAAAAACTGAAAATTCTTCGAAAACGACAATCGCGAATATCTCACTTATTATCAAAGATGGAGAATTCAGTGGCGTAGGTAGAATTTTTTCCCAACTTTTATTTTCGAGATTTTAGACGTAACTTTATTTTTTTAAATGGAAACCATAGTTGGCTATGAGCTAAAATAATTTGGTATTTTCTCCTGATAACAAATATATATAGTTTGTGGGGTTTATTTCTTGTAGTTATTGAATAATTAACAAAAATTCATTTTGTTCTATCTAAAACCAATGTATGTATTTAAAAGTTAATGTTGCTATGGTGATAACCATACATACTATGATGGAACATAATGTATTAAATAATTGCCAAAGTTTGTATTTAAAAATTCGACAACTCTGGCATTATGTGCTGGTACGAAGCACCAGCATGTTAAGTGTCAAAGTATAACAAAACTGAATAAAACTTTACAATGAATTTCGAAAATTATGAAAAATGTAACATGATGGAATGCTATATGTTATCAGATAAGAATGCGACGTTAGCCGCGGAATTTTATTTCACAAGATATCCAGAAAGAAGCCATCAATACAAAATAAATTTCAAATATCG